CTGTGCCTGGGGCTGCCTGGCTTTAATTGTGCTCAGATTTCTGGGGTCTGAGGTGGGCCAACCAGATTCTGGCTGGGATGTGCCTGAGGGTGATTAGGAAAGAGGAAAGAGAAGGCTGAAAACTCCTCTCTCTGTCTCTCTCTGTCTCTCTCTGTCTCTCTGTCCCTCTCCCTCTCTCTCCCCCTCCCCTATCCCTCTCCCCCTCCCTCCTCCCCTCCCTCCTCTCCCTCCCCTCCCCTTCCCTCCTCCCTCCTCCCTCTCCCTCTCCCTCTCCCTCTGAGGTAGAAGTGAAAGAAAACAGGAAGAGGAGCATGTCCCAGCAGGGCCCTGATGCTCTCGCACACACTCTCTGGGGCTGCCCTGTGTGCTCTCCCGGGCCCTGTGTGCTCTCCCGGGCCCTGTGTGTGCTCCCCAGGCCCTGTGTGTGCTCCCCAGGCCCTGTGTGAGCTCCTTGGGCCGGCCACACCGATGTTAACCGGTCACCTTCAAAGCCAGGCTGAGAGGGCGGGAGGGGGGCTGTTTCCTTTTACTCAAAACCTTTCTCTTTTGTTCGACTGTTTGGCCGCGTGCGTATATTATTACTGTTTTTAAACGTCAACAGATGTTATCAGGCCCATTCTGCTGCTCTGTAGTCAGAAAGGAAGCGGGTACTGAGGGCTGGTAGGATGGGGTATGATTTTGTCAGATCTTGTTCTTGAAGACAGGGAGACTACCCGTGGGCAAGAGGTTGGAGGGCCCTGGAAGGGGCTTGAAGGAGTGAGCCAGCACTTTGGGGAACGGTCCCACCTAGCTTTCACTCCCTAGTCCTAACTTGAATGGTCTCTGAGGGTCCCAGGACAGGCTTTAGGTTCTGGGGCCATCCCCCTGTGAGCTGGGCCTCCAGGAGTTTTGTTCACACGTGTGTGTGTGTGTGTGTGTGTGTGTGTGTGTGTGTGTGTGTGTGTGTGTGTGTGTATTGGTGGTTTGCCTGCATGTAAGCCTGTGTGTGGGGGTCATATCTTGGAGTTGCAGATAGTTGTGAGCTGCCATGGGGGTGCTGGGAATTGAACTCAGGACCTCTGGAAGAATAGCCAGTGCTCCCAACCCCTGAGCCATCTCTTCAGCCCCCGTCCAAGGGTTTCGATTCCTTTACTATGGGCCGAGAGTCAGGCCCCATTCTTCTGCCTCAGATCTGCTCATGGTCCGTGCCCTGCCTGCTGCCTATGATTTCTGTGTCCCTGGCCCAGTCCTGCCTGAGGACAGTGGCCAGGTGCCAGGGCCAAGTCCTGTCTTCACAGGAGCCTGCCCACATCTCCATGGTAAGTCCTGTCTTCACAGGAGCCTGCCCACATCTCCATGGTGGATGTGAAGTCAGGGGTCCCTCTCCACCAGCAAACTGGGGAAAGCCTGGGAAGCTGAGCCCTCTTCTCCCCTCCCATCTTTTGGTGGTTTGTTTCGTTTTGTGGTTTGGAGACAGGATCACACTCTCTATCTAGCCCAGGATGGCCTCATGCACACTTGCAAGTTCAGGCTGGCTTCATAGTCATTTAGATCCTCCTGCCTCAACCTTCTTTCTGAGTGTGTGGAAGATTACAGACTTCAGTCGTCACACCCAACTTTCTCCTCAGTTCTGGTTGCCCGCACTCCCCCAGTTTGCAGTCTGGTGAAGCCAGCCGTCGTCTGGTGTCGATGGTTGTGGCTGACAACTGTGCCAAGCCATTGCTCTCATCTCCTGTGGACAGCCTGCCCACCCCCACTTCCAAATTCAGACTGCCAGTCCATAAGCTAGGAAAGTGACCATCAGACCGAGGGTGAGCTGAGGAAGGGTCAGGCCTGAGACACATAGCGCTTGGCTTCCAGAAGAAATGACTCAAGTAGCATCAAATGTAACTCTAGAGTTCTGTGAATCAAAAACTAACGCACCAGGGCTGGAGATGTAGCTCGGTAAGTAGTGTTTGGTAGATGGAACCCAAAGCGCCGGGTTCGGTCCCCAGCACCACATAAATGGTGTGGTGGTGCACATACCTGTGATTCCAGCAGGAGGATGAAAAGTTTAAGGTTATCCTTGGCTACCTAGTGTGTTATACAAGGGCAGCCTGGGCCACATGAGATCCTGGGTCAAAAAAGGTAAAACAGCAGGGCAGGGGTGAGGTATAGCTCAACAGGGCTGGGATATGTGTGGGGTGTACTTCATTATAAACTGCTTATCTCCAAGGCCCTGGGTTCCAACTCCAACACTAAAAAAGTTAAGAATAAGAAAGTGCTGATAAGATGGTTCAGCTCAGCAGTTAAGAGGGTGTACAGCCCTTGAAAAGGATGTGAGTTCAATTTCCAGGACCCATGTCGGGAGCCTGGTAACGCTTGTAACTCCAGCTCCAGGTAATCTGATGCCCCCTTCTGGCCTCCTCAGGCACATCCACTCACATGCATAGACCCACACTCAACACATACACTTCTCTCTGTCTGTCTGTCTGTCTATCTGTATGTCTATCATCTATCTTTGAGACAGGGTCTTTACTATGTAGCCCTGACTGGCCTTGATCTCAAAGACATCTGCACATCTCTGTCTTGTGTTAAAGACACGAACTACCATATTTAGTCACATATACATTTTCTTAAAGATTAAAAAAAAAAGATACCACGACAGCCATTCCACACCTATTAGAATCACCCAAATATGGAACACAACCCCATCAAATTCAGGCCAGTATATAAAGGAATTCTCATTGTTAGTAGAGATACAAGGGGGGACAGCTACTTTGGGAGGTAAATAATCAATTCCTTATACAAGGAAATATATATATATATATATATATGCTTTGGAAATATGTTCTTCTTTTTTTTTTTTTTTTGGTTTTTTTTTCAAGACAGGGTTTCTTTGTATTGATTTGGAGCCTGTCCTGGAACTCACTGTGTAGACCAGGCTGGCTTCAAACTCACAGAGATCCACCTGCCTTTGCCTCCGGAGTGCTAGGATTAAAGGCATGCACCACCAACGCCCGGCTTTGGAAATATGTTCTTACGGTGCTCTTCGGCATTTATCCGAATGAACGGAGAACATATCCAGTAGCAAACCTGATACATATGTTTAAACAGATATATATATATGTGTGTGTGTGTGTATGTATGTAACCTATTTGCCAAAACTTAGAAACACCAAGGTGTTCTTCAAGGCTTCACATTAACCATGGTTCAACCATACAAGGGACTATTATTACTCAGCCATCGAGCTATAAAAGGGCGTGAAGAAGCTCCATGCATAAGTTTTAGGTTTATTCATTATTTCATATGTATAAATGTTTTGCTTTCATGCATATAAGTGTACCACATGTGCTCCTGGTGCCTTCAAAGCTCAGAAGAGGGTGTTGGATCCCTTGGGGCTGGAGTTACAGATGCTTGGGGACTGCCATGTGTGTGCTGGGACTAGAACCTGGGTCCTCTGTAGGAGCAACAGTTGCCTTTAACTGCCGAGCCACCTATCCAGCTCCAGCTTGCTATGCAGTAACGAGAGGAAGAAGTCAGTTTGAGAAGGCTACTGTACTGACTGGAAAAGGACCATGGGGACCATCAAACATCAGACGTTGCCTGAGGGCAGGGGCAGGGACAAGCTCGTGAGGCCAGAGGGGTTTTAGGGCAGGACACTAGTCTGTATGGTGGCACTATAATGACCTCAGAATATACCACATTAGACACTGAGCCTTAATATCAATTATGGACTTTGGGTGACAGCATGCCAACGTGGCCTCATCGGCTGCAACCTGTGAACCCACTCCTCAGTGATGCTAGCCACTCTGGAAGCAGTGAGGAACGTAGCAGCTCTGTTCTTTTTGCTCAGTTTCTGCAGAACATAAAACTCCAGCATTAGCAACAATAATAACAATGCACCTGGAACCCCGAGACCTTTGAGGGGAGGCAAGGGGAGCATAAGTTCAAGTTCATCCTCAACTACACGTTGAGTTCGAGGCCAGCTTGTCCTAGAGAACCAGTCAATAACCACAGTTTAGGAGCAGGCGCCCTTCTGGACTTTCTCCCTTAGGGCTCTTTCTGGTCCCTGCCACCAGGGAGTTGGGTTTGGGGATAGCTGTTGGAGGAAGTTAAGGAAGTGAGAGAGACTCTGGTGGGCTCCCAGCACCAGGGCAGGAGAGCAGAGCGGGGGGCCTGTCTTTGTCCCTCCTGTCTCCCACAGTTTCCTGGAGGAGGCTCAGAGATCTCCAGCCGTTGGACCTCTTCTCCTCAGCTTCCTGTTTGGGGTCCAGAGAGACGGTTTGGCCGTTTCTGCAGCTGAACAGAGCCAGTTGGCCTGATGGTAGGGGGGCCGCTCAGGAGGGAGCGTGTTGGGGGGCTGCTAGCTTGGCAAGCATGGAAACAAACCCTGCAAGTGCTCAACTCCTCAGACCTGCAGCGTCAACTTGAGGCGTTGGTTTGGCACCTGGCTCCCTGAAAGATATATCTGAGCCAGGCAAGGGACATCACCTCTCTCTGGGGGCAGACTTTCCTAGTGGCCACTGGTCTAGTCCAGCCCCAGCTTCCCACCGCCCACACCATCCACCGTCCCTCACCTTTGACTGCGGCCTTGATGCCCTCTCCCTCCTACAGATTGCATCCCAGTTCCGGCCTCCAGAGGCAGAGGACAGCACTGCCTTACCCTGGGGAAGCCCTGAATTGACGTTGGAGGCAGAGTCTTGGTGCTAAGTACCTACACTTCAGGAAGCACATGGGGGGTCCTCAAGTGTCAGATAGAAATGTCGGATCGTCAGAATTTCAAGGGTGAATAGTTACTTGGGAAAAAGAGAGCGAAGGTATATCAATAGCCAAGGCCCACAGGGAAGCAAGCACCTGATGTGGACAGATACAGTTAAAGAATCAACTGGAAAGCCAGGCAGTGGTGACACACACCTTGATCCCAGGACTTGGGAGGCAGAGGCAGGCGGATCTCTGAGTTTGAGGCTATCCTGGTCTACAGAGCGAGTTCCAGGATAGTCAAGGCTACACAGAGAAACCCTGTCTCAAACCCCCACCCCCACACCTCCCCAAAAAAGAAGAAGCAACTGGGAGAAGCAGCCCCGTGGCCAGTTAGGACAGTGTGTCTGCTTAGACTCACTTGACTCTGGTCCCCAGCGAGTTTCCAGCAGCCCAAGACCTCCCTCTGTTTCCTGGGATCTAGGGGGTCCCCTTGCCAACCTGCAGTCAGCCTATAAGGGTGAGTCGGGGGGCTGAGGGAGGCTGAATTGTTGGACCTCTAGACCCAGGGGTGTGTGGGGTGAGGGCAGACAATTCACATGGCCCCTGGAGAACAGGACTCAACCTGGGGAGTCCAGACCCGGAGCCTGAAGGATGGGACAGGCAGGACGGAATCTGCAGCCAGGGCACATCCACTCGGAAACCCCTAGGTAGGGCGCCTTGCAAGATGGAAAGCTGCCTTCAGCTCGGTGGGTTGTGGAAGAGAGGCTCTTCACTTGGCCTTACACAGAGAGGTGCTCTGAGGGAGGCATTTTGCCAGTGAGAGCTGGGGCTGTTTCTCTAGCCCCGGGATAGCTCCATGCCCTCTTTCTGGCGAGGGTCCCAGACACGGTGAAAGTGAGACCCACAATGTGCTTGTCCTTGCCCCCACGGTAGCCCTGCTTGCCCTGTGATGCAGACCTCCCTGGCTACTCGCACTTGGTCTCCCTGCTCTGGGGCATTCTGGCAGCAGAAGCCCTGACTCCTGAGACCCGTGTCTCTTTCCCTGGCGGTTCTGTGCCTTTGTCCCAAGTGACGCAAACCCGGGCTTGTGATGTTCGGAAACTCTCTGCTTCTGCCATGGGCTGTCAGACTGGCCGCCCAGGGCCACATTTCCTTAAAGCACCCATGGAGACACCACAGGGGGATGTAACTGAGGAGTTCTGGGAGAGATGATGAGTACTAATGGAAGACACCTTTAATCCCAGCACTTGGGAAACAGAAGCAGCAGATGTCTGAGAGTTCAAGGTCAGCCTGGTCTACAGAGTGAGTTCCAGGACAGCCAGGGCTTTAAGCCCCTATCTCAAAATAGGAAGGAAGGAAGGAAGGAAGGAAGGAAGGAAGGAAGGAAGGAAGGAAGGAAGGAAGCTAGCAAGAAATGTGTAAAAACCCGCATGTAGAATGCTAAAACGTTCAACTAAGAGGCACGAATAAACAGAAGTGTCAGGCACTCGTTTTCAATTTTGGATGGGGTTGGAGTGTAGCTCAGTGGTAGATCACTTGCCTAGCATGCGTAAGGCTCTGGGTTCAAATCCTCAGCGTCCCAGTAAAGAAACATTTTAGAATGGTTTCAACAGGGCACTTAACCAGCCACTGGGCTTCTGTTAGCGTGGGGCCCTGTGAGCCTGCACAGGCAGCGTGTCCTTGCAGAGGGACAAGAGTCCCACAGTGGGGGCGGGGAAAGGAAAGATAGAACCCAGTCGGAAGGGGAAGTCTGCTTACTCAGGGGACGCTCGCTCGGATTTGAGCTTTAGGGTCACATGGACCCAAGAGGGCATCTGAAACCCACCTGTTCCTCATTTCCCAGAGAGAAGACTGAGGCCTAGAGAGGGGAGGGTGTTGCCCAGGTTACCCAGTGAGGGGTACACAGCCGGCCAGGTCAGAGCTCCGCCTGCCTAAATCTACAGTTCTATAGAGAGTAAGAGAGCTGATACTGTAACCCAGAGGGCAGCTGGCATAGGACCTCCCGCGTCTCCATTGGCCTCATGAGCTCTGGGCCTTTCTTCCCTGGCCCTGCCTTTACCCACATTTTTGCCTCCTGTGCTCAGCCTCCTAGAGTTGAAACTCACCATGCTCTGATCTTTGAAAACCCCATGCCTGCTACTTCTAGTGTGGTGCGCAGCAGCCTGTAACTAGGTAGGTTCTCAGAGCAGCGTCCTCGTCTCCAGAAGGCAGCCAAGGCCCAAGGTTCTTCCAGCCCAGGCTAACGGGTGCTGTTTCTTCCTCACCCCCCCCCACCTCTGATCCAGTGTCCAGTTCATTTCTGCTCCTGCAGCTCAGGCCCAGATCCGGTCATACAGCCAATGCCTTCGTGTCCTCTGGACCCACAACACCTGTTACTTCTCGCTCACTGCTTTGAGGGAAATGGGGAGCTTTCAACGAAGCCTGTGCAGATGTGCGCAAAACATCAGGCTGGACGTCTCTGATAAAAGCAACACTCCCATCGTTATTGCTCAGCCTGAGCCTCCTAACTTGTGACTTGGTCAAAGTGGATGGGGAGGAGGCAAACACACATTTCCTGAGCTCTGGGAAGCCTTGGGGTCACTGCCTGGGGTCAGGTGGGTAGGATGCTGGCGAGACGGAAGCCCCCGGATGTGCTATTTTACCGTAGTTACCGTGGCTGCACTTTAAGCTGCCAGTGGCCAGGCTCCTAAGGCCCAGGGGAGTTCTGAGTTCTGTTCCCTTAGATGATGGCTCTGTTGCTGCCTCTAATCTCTAATGTTCTAATAAAACTCAAGATTCAAAGACTAGTGGGCGGGGATGTCTAGGTGTATCTCTGAGTTCTAGGCCAGCCTGGCCTACAGAGCGAGTCCCAGGAGAGGCTCCAAAGCAACAGAGAAAAACCAAACCAAACCAAACAAAACTTCAAAGACTAGGGTGAAAACCAGCAAGCTCAGAGAGTTAGAGTAGCAACCGGCTACCTTTCTCTGTTAGCTCGAGGCCCCTGAGGCTGCTCCCTTCCACACTGCCCCAACTGAAAAACAAAGACCTCATGCTAAGCTCCTCTCTGCTTACTTCCAGTCAACCAGTGGCTAACCCAGCCTCCCTGAACCCAGGTTAATTTTATCTAGTTAACACAAATGCAACACATCTTTACCCAGTTAAACAAATGCAGCACAAACAAATGTAACACATCTTTGCCTGGTTAAGCAAATATCCCCCAACTGGGATGCCAGAGCAGAGAGGAGCAATTCAGAGCTGCACAGATGAGCTGGGTGGGGGTGGGGGGTGGGGGAGGGTAGCTCTGAGTCTGAGAGGGAAGACTGTGACCCCGAAGGGATGGCCCATTGGTGCCAACTAGAAACAACCCTCTCTTCAACTCCATCACTGCTTAGAGTGACTCAAGGGGTGAGGGGAGCCATTGAGGCACTCCCCACTGTTGGTTCCCTGCTGCCATGTTGTTACTGTAGGAAGGAGACCTAAGGTCCTTTGTTTTTCAAGACAGGGTTTCTCTGTGGAGCCCTGGTTGTCCTGGAACTTGCTGTAGACCAAGCTGGCCTCGAACTCACAGAGATCGTCCTGCCTCTGCCTCCCGAGTGCTGGGATTAAAAGCGTGTGCTGCCACTGCCTGGCTCAGAGGTCCTTTTAAAGATGTGTTATTATAGCCGGGCGGTGGTGGCGCACGCCTTTAATCCCAGCACTCGGGAGGCAGAGGCAGGCGGATCTTTGTGCGTTCGAGGCCAGGCTGGACCGATAGCCTCCAAAACAATACAGAGAAACCCTGTCTCGTAAAAACCAAAAAAAAAAAAAAAAAAAAAAGGTGTTATTATGATTGCTAATTGTGTGCACTGGGGGGGTGTGTGTGTGTGTGTGTGTGTGTGTGTGTGTGTCTCCACAGAGGCCAGAGGTGTTGTGCAACTTCATCCCCGCTGAGCTGCAGGCAGCTGTGAGCTGAGGCCAGCATTGGGAGCCAAACTCAGACCCTCTGAAACAGTACAGCCTCCTAACCTCTGCGTCCCAGTGGTCCTTACAGAAATCTCTGCGAGGCCCACAGATTGGGAAAAGATATTCACTAACCCCACATCTGACAGAGGGCTGATCTCCAAAATTTACAAAGAACTCAAGAAGCAAGTCTCCAAAACACCAAAGGATCCAATTAAAAGGTGGGCCACAGAAGTAAATAGAGGATTCTCAGTAGAGGAGTCTAAAGTTGTTGAGAGGCACTTAAAGTGCTCAACATCCTTAGCCATCAGGGAAATGCAAATCAAAACAACTCTGAGATACCATCTTACTCCTGTCAGCATGGCTAAAGTCTAAAACACCAATTTATGCTCGAGAGGATGTGGAGAGAGGGGAACACTCCTCCACTGCTGGTGGGAGTGCCAACTCGTACAGCTACTTTGGAAATCAGTATGGAGATACCCCAGGAAAATGGGAATCAATCTACCACAAGACCCAGCAATACCACTCTTAGGCATATACCCAAAAGATGCCCATTCATACAACAAGGATGTCTGTTCCACTATATTCATAGCAGCATTATTTGTAATAGGCAGAACCTGGAAGCAACCAAGATGCCCCTCAACTGAAGAGTGGATAGAGAAAATGTGGTACATTTACACAAGGGAATACTATTCAGCTGAAAAAACAATGGAATCTTGAAATTTGCAGGCAAATGGACAGCACTAGAAGAAACCATCCTGAGGTAACCCAGTCACAAAAAGATAATATGGTATGTACTCATTCATATATGGATTTTATGCATGGATCAGGGGAGTGCCAGCCTACAATCCCACTGCCAGAGAGTCTGGGAAACAGGGAGGACCCTAAGAGAGAGATGCATGGTACCCCAAAGAAAGGGAATGAGGCAAGATCCCCTGAGCTGATTGGGAGCATGGGGGGAGGGGAGAGGCAGCTGGGGGAGGGGAAATAGGGGGAGAAGAATGGGGGAGGGAAGGACATGGGAGACCAGGAGGTTGAGTCAGGTTGAGGAGAGCAGAATGAGAGATACCTTAGTAGAGGGAATCATAGATTTGAGGAGAGATCTGGCACTAGTAAGATTTCCAGAGATCTACAAGGATGACACCAACTGGCAAACTAAGCAATAGTGGAGAGACTACCTTAAATGCACCTCCCTGATAATGAGTTCTACTATTTCCTTATATGTCATCCTAGAACCTTCAACAGTGACTGATGGAAGCAGAGGCAGACACCCACATCTAAACACTGAACTGAACTCCTGGAACCCAGTGACAGAGAGGGAGGATTGATGAGTAAAGGGGTCAAGACTGGGCTTGTTTAACTCACAGAAACTGCTGACCTAAACAAGAAGGAGCTTTTGGACCCCAGACTGATGGCTGGGAGGCCAGCATGGGACTGATTCAGACCCCCTGAATGTGGGTGTCAGTGAGGAGGCCTAGGCAATCTATGGGGCCTTGGGCAGTAGATCAGTATTTATCCCTGGCGTACAAACAGACTTTGGGTGCCCATTCCACAATGAGGATGCTCTCTCAGTCTGGGCTCTTGGGGGAGGGCCTACGCCCTGCCCTGAACAAAATGACAGACTCTGGATATCTCTGGATATCCCCCATGGAGGGCCTTACCCTCCCTGGGGAACGGAGTGGGAATTGGGTGGGGGACTGGGGGGTAGGGGAGGGGTGGCGGAGAAGGGGAGGGAGAGAGGGAGCTGGGATTGACATGTTTCCAATTTAAATAAAAAATCTTAAAAAAAGAAGAAGAAAGAAATCTCTGCAAGGAGTTAATGAAGGGTCTGGAAGTCATGAATCTTTCTGCTAAGGAAGTTGGGACTTCCATCTACACTCTTCGGGGACCACATGGCCTCCCTGGGGACCATGCACTTGGCACTGAGGCCAACAGCCAGTATCATCTCTTCCATGCAGGGGTGGCCTGGGAAAATAGGGCCTGGAAATAGTCGAGTCTGGTTGTAACAGCTATGAGAGAAACAGGGCTTCCATACTTTAAACGGTCCTACAGATGACTAGTCAGGCAGGCCAGCCTCTGCTCCTCCTTGGCTCTTTGAAATCAGCTAAATCCCGCAGGCTCTGCCTGCTTCAGTCCCCCAGAAGTTATGACATGAGTGAGTAGGTTTGCAGCGTTGAGCGGTTCAGCAAGATGCTGGGAGGGTGGTAGAGACTGCCTGTTTCCCTCAGGGTTCCCCAGGGAGCAGAAGTAAGAGCTAATCTGTGACAGTAGGATCTAGAAAAAGACCGAGTGCACACTCTCCTGCAGTCCCTGCTGCGGGCGGGCGAGCTGACCCATGGACAGGCTTCGGGCTCCGGGGTTCTTGCCGCTAACCAGTGGAGGATCCCAGGGCCACTCAATTGAAATCCTGAGGAGGACCAAGTCTCTCAGGCCTCAAAATCCTGGAGAAAGACCTGCAGAGCTCCCAAGCCCTGAGCTGATCTGAAGGGTTTTCCTGGAGGTGGCCACTCAGGTCCTAACTTGCAGAAGGTCAAGAAAAGCTTTTCTGTGATTCTTCAGTGAAATACATGACCAGTTGCTATAGCCCAAGGTGCAGGGGCCTGAGATGTGAGACGTAGAGATCAGAGGGGTCGAGAGGAGATAAGAATGCTGATAAACAAAGCCCCAAGTAGGAATGTGAGCCACCGATCCGCCCCTCCCAGGAAGAAGCAGCAGCTGGTCCTTCCAGAAAGCCCACCAGGAGCGCCTGGGGTGGTGTGGAGCTAGCTATGGAGCTGCAAGAGTGTAAACAGAAGGCAGAGGGAGTGTGTGGGATGGCGGGGACCAGGTGACCAAAGGCAGGCCCAGGGCCCCCATGGGGCACCTAGGGAGGAGGTGGGGCCAGGCACACGGGCTTAGAGGCCCCGTATGGGGCTGGCCCACAGCAGGGACAGGTATTTTTAGACAGGCTCAGGTACAGACTGAGACATTACGACACAGCTCGACAGGTGGTTAATATTTAATCCCCTCTTTAATCATTAACACTTTGGCTGGCTGGGGAGGATAGGGCTGTTGTCAAATCAGTAACCACAGGCCCAGGGAACAATGTCCACAGATTTCTTTGCCTCTCCTGGCTAGGCTGGGGGTGTTGGCTGGAGGGGAGTCACCCATGGTCCTGGGGGCCCTGGTGTGGCTCTTTTTATGGTAATTAAGGGGACAGAGACAGTAGAAAGTCCTTTTGAGACCTTGGATCTCCTTCTAACCCAGGGGCTCTTAGAGGTGGTCAGTGATATCAATGCATGCTATCTTCTCCTTCTAGGCCTTGTGACTTTGGGCAAGTCACATAGCCTCCCTGAGTCTCAGTTTCTTCATCTTCACAACGAGGAAATGTGTTCATCGCTCGAAGGATTGTCATGAGATTTGAATGAGATGTGAGCATATAAGGAAGTACTTTCTAGACCGAAGACCGAGATAGCAAGCTGGTTAGAGACAGTACCAACTACAGAAGAGGGCAGTCACTGTAAAAGGTGCAAAGTTGAAGGCAGATAGCAAGGGCAGAGTCATAAAAGGCGCAGAGATGAAAGAAGAGAGCCAGCGATGTGGTTTACATTCAGATGGTGCCTGCTTTGTGGAGCTGATTTTAGTTTGGGTAATCAAATGGTTATTAATGAGTCTGTTTGCCCAGCTCCCAAACCGGGCTGCAAAGAAAAAAGCAACAACAGTCACCCTCTCCTGCCCCAGGAGGTGGGGGGCAGCAACGGTGACCAGGTTCCAGGGCTGAATCAGAACAAGAGAGGCTGTGTTTGCAAGGCAGGTCAACAGGTCAGGGCCTTTGGGTCAGCAGGGCGGGGAGGAAGGAGGGTGTGAGCTGAGGATCAGAGCCGGCTTCAGAGGTGATCAGTAAGGAGAGGGTCCTGGGAGACTCCCCTGACATGCCCTGGTGCAAGCCAGCTAGTCCCCACTCGGGTACACTCTGGCCATGGGCACATGACACAGCAGCACAGTGACAGGGACTCAGGACGTCCCTAGGTGGGAACGGGAGCCAAGCCGTGGCGGGGACGCAGATGGGACTACGTGGAGGAGGTGGCTACAAGGCTGATCTTTAAGGAGGGCGGGGTGGGCTCTGGGGGTTCCTGTAGCTAAGCCCTCAGCTACTGACCACACCCCAAGCTTGGTTCTGGCCCAGGTTCACAGAGGCAAAAAGAAGCCAGAGACTCCTAAGAAATCGGGCTAATGATCAACAGAAACACAATTCTGCCCTTCCCCGGGCCCCTCCCGGTGTGGCTCTGGGGGCTGTGGGGGTGGGGGTGGGGTGGGGGGATGCTTGGCGCTCCTCTGCAGGAAACCAAGCCCTATGTGGGGTTTCTGCTTAGAGGACTCTTGTCCAATGTGGACAAGACGGAATAAAATGGGCATAGTGACCCAGGGAGAGACCCAAAAGGAGTGACAGATGCCACCTGACAGGTTGTTGCTAAGAGTTCAGACTGAACCCTGGGTCTAGAGCCTAAATCCTGTCTGTCTGTCTGTCCATTTCCAGCTATTACCCTGGGCCTGATCTCTGCCTCTGTTTCTTTGTTCCTCCTTAAAAAGACTTTTACTTATGTAATGTGTGCGTGTTCTACCTGCATTCATGTACATGTACCATACATGTAGCTGGTGCATGTCAGATGAAGTTCCCTGGAGGGGAGTTACAGATGGCTGTGAGCTATCACGTGGGTACTAGGAACTGCACTTGGGTTTCGGCAGGAAAGCACTGACCCATCTTCTGTCCATCCCTATGCCTTGCTGACTGTGTAAGGGGACCAGCAGTGACCAGTGAAGCACCTGCTGCCAATGAGTTTTCCTGAAACCCAGGGCCGGACAAGCAGAGCGAGTGGGGCAGCCATTTGAAGGCCAGCACACTCCTGACTGGCTTCCTGGAGGAGGAGTCATGCACCCTTTTAGAGGATTAGCAGGATCCCCCCCAGCAAGTGTCCCTTCCCCGAGGAGGGACAAACAGAGGCAGGAAGAAATGACACAAGGCTGGGAAGGTAAGGAGGTCTCTGTGGCCACCGTGGCTATGGCTGTCTGAGACAGCTGGTTCTGAGGGCCAGGAGCAGGGGCAGGAGGAGCCCAGAGCTTTGGGCTCCAAATGTAGCTGGGCAGCTGGTGCAGGAGCAGTAGGGTTTGCATTTATGGGTTCCCAGGCTGGACTTGGAGCATAGCCTCCATGCAGTTTCTCTAGCATGCCCACTGAGGTCCTTTCTAGAGTCTGCCTTCTATGCCTCCGACCTGATGACCGTAAGCCAGCCATTTCCCGACCTCTGTCTTGTCGACCGCCATGTGGGCACAGGAATGTATACACCCGCTACCCTCACCTCCAGTGGTGGCCAAGGAGGATGTATGGGCCAGTGTCAAGTGTGGAGGCACAGGGTTAGGGGAGGAGCTGGGTCAAAGCCCAGCTCTTTTCTTCCCTGGGCTGGGGTGAGAGGGGGAGCTCAGTTTATCTGAGTCCTGACAGAGCTGGGGGGGGAGTGAGAGGGGGTGCTCCTCCACCAACCCAGATAGCATAAGGATGATAAAGAGCACAGCCCGCCCAAGGAGGCAGGAGTCACTAACACTGTCACTTCCCTGATCCTTTCCCCCCCAAGGCCCCCTCCAGGCTC